GGAAAAAATCAACTAGATGGATTAGTGGCGCAGTGATTAGCGTGCTGTGCTATCTGAACCTCGTGATCCTGCTTTCAGTGCCTGGCCACGGCCAACATCTGAGTGATATTAGCAGCAGTTCAGTCCTCCGTACCCTCCACCGCACAACACAGACCAGCATTGTAAAGTCCAGGATGGTCGAAAAATATCCGTGACTGATATGGGCATTGGGAGGCAGGCCTGCATCAATTGGTGGATTGAGAATTAACAATTTTTATTTCATTTTAATGTAAAAAAACAAGAACCAGAAGTGTCCACCCATTCTTTTTGGTGCATTCCTAAAACAACATTGCAAAAGCAGAATTGCTGCACATTTTATTAACCTCGGAGGGATTATGGGTTTGAGCCATCGCCTTGCCACAACCGGGATTTGAACTTGCACACGATCATAAGCCGAGCTCTCTGGCCTCAGCACCTCCCACCCAGATGATGATGAAGATGGTAACGATGTTTTTTGCTGGCCCGCGGTAGTTTTTCCATATGAGGCCGAGTCATTGAGTGACCCATGACGCAATGCGCCTTCCTATATAGAAGGCAAGCAGGAGGCTCGTGCCAGCCACAAAGCTGCTCTTTGTTTGCAGCGCAATTGCCTCGACTGCCTCTGTGGGTGAAACCACCCTGGGATTACTGCAGGGGGGTGGGTGGAAGGAAAAGAAAGGGGCCTCTCAATTGAACCATTTATTGCATACGCTGTTGCGGCCATCACCCCCCTACTATCCTGCCTTGGTGTGGTGCCTTACAAAGCCAGAAGAGCGCAAGTTCAAATCCGGGTCGAGGTTGTTGCAAGGCTGGACTTGGCTCTCATCATTGTTCAGCTCGTCTGATCTTACATGGTCAATAAAAAAATGGGTACCGTGTGGTGGGAAGTCATCCGTGTGTGAGCACGTTGGAATGTGGCATTTCCACCCCTGGCTGGTAACTGACCAATGGTGATGATAAGTGTCACCAGGGAGAAGATTGTGTTGTCTAAGCTTTGATTGAATCCCTGCAAACATGCTGGAGAATTACACTGGAGAATGAAACCACCATTGTTTCGCAAGACCCATGACTGGATTGTTTTGCATTCAACATAATTAACATTCCATTCAGCACTCTGCTGTTAATGTGATTTTAATTATTTTTAATTTAATGTCGGTGACCGCCTTTATTATTGAAATCCTGATTTATATTCCAGTTGTGCTGTTAACGTCTCATCATGGGATGAAGAACTTCCCATTGCAAGTGCCCTTGCAGTGAGCACAAAGAAAAGTCAAACGGGACTGGGCCATTAGGTCCAGACTAAAAACGGAGTGGCGGCCAAATGAGAGAACGCCAAACGCAGGGACGGAGCGAATGAAATTGGCTTGTGTGCAGGTGTTCGATGGATCGTTGTACATAAGTACGTTGAACTTATTTTGCACCGTACGTATCCAACCTTGCTAATCGCGGAGGTGCAGCACGGTGAGCGAGAGCTGGTGATGAGCATGTAGAGGCTTTCATTCAGCAGTGGATTGACCCTGGCTTTTGGTAACGGTAATAAGCAACCTGGCTGTTTCATTTGTTAGTAATTTACGAACAATGCCCTTTACCAACATTGGCCATCCCTCACTGCCTCCGTCTCCCTCCTCCCATCGTCTTTTCCCCCCCACACCAAACCATCACCAGTTACTAACCAGCTCCTCACCTCCCCACTGCCACCCACCCATTCCCATGTGAGAACCGCCCCTGCTATGATTGGACCGAGAGGATGTTTGTGACCCCCCCCCCCATACCATCACCCACCCTCCCCACTGAGAGCATCTGCAGAGCGCATAGCAACTAGCAGAGCCCGTACAGTGCGGCACGGCACAGATTGAAATTCCTACGGAGGGCGCCCGTGATCAGACACCCACCCCGTGGCCGATGTGGTGCATCGGTGGTTTTGACACGAGAGCTGCTTTTCCGTGTATTGCGATGGGCGTGTTGTGAATTGTGCGAGTGCTTGTGTGGTGTTGTGTTATGGGCACTGGGTGATTGTTGTCAATTGTGTATGTATTTATGTATGGATGCGCGCGCTTTGCGCTGTGCATGCATTTGCGTACATTGTTTTTAATTTTATTCCTGGTAATGCATTTGTGTGTGCACGTGTGTTTGTGTGTCTTCCGTGTTAATGGGGAGCGATGGCGCGGTGGTTAGCACACTGCACTACGAACCCAGCGACACGAGTTTGATTCCCGCTCACGGCCACCACCTACCAATGACAATTATCTGAACCGGTCCTGGGCCTCCCCTAGGCCAACTCGGCCTCGAATCAGTACCAGGTGCGATGTGTAATATTGCCACTAGGGAGACAAAGGCGGCCGGGCACGTTGCTGACCACCATCCACCTCGTCTGCCGGCCTTCATTGATGACCACTAACAGCAGTTGCCCCAACAGTCTGTTAAGGCTATAAGGGGGATCTTTGTCTTTCGTGTGGTCTGTGTGTGCGGTGTGGGTCGCGGTTACAAAGCTCGCCACTGCCCCCGCCACTGCGCTCCTAACCCTGTGATCCACATTTGGTCCTTGGCTAAGCAGAACGCCACTGGTGTCTCTGTGGGCATCTGCAGGCATCTGTACGCACGCGCAGCAGTGTCAGTGTGGTTCACGCACTGCGCGCTAAGAACCCGGAGGAGACCTGCGTTCCAATCTCAGACGTGCACAAATGCAAAGTGCCAAGTGTTATCCCAACCGGTCCTCAGCTCCACCGATGTCATTTCATCCTTCATCGAGTACCTGGTGTCGTGTGTAAACATCCATACTGTCTAGAGGCAGTCGGGCATTGTGCCTGCCATACCTCCCCACTTGTATGCCTCTGCCAGCCTTAATAGCTGCTAGCTAACAGCACTTGCCCCATCTATTGCTGTGTATTTCTTTGTGTGTTTTGAGTATTTTCTGCGTGTGTGTGTCCTGTAAGTTGCATTCCATGAATGCTTATTTGTTTTGTCACATAAATATTCATGCATTTTTGTGTTAACATTTTCTGTTCGCGTTTTTCCTAAGCAGAGCAATTCTATTGAAATAATTTTGCGCCTATAAATTTCCGCATGATAAGCCACTTCGTTGAGCTATCATTTGTGGCCAGGTCGCTTCTGAAAAAGAAGGTAACAGCTCTAAGTGGGCTTTACCTGGTATGATAAAAAAAAATTATTTGTGTATTTTTGTAAGTGATTTGTTTACCTTTCCTAGACCTTGCACTCGTGTCGTGTTTTTGTACTGTTGGACATCTGTAAAAAGAGCTTTATAGCTCATCGGATTCCTGTAGTAAAAATATTCCTGATTCTGAATCCAAACAGTGCCCCATATTGACAGCAGGGGCCACTTTGGTCAATGACATGACCCAGGAATGATATCGCAAGCAAGCCTCTTTACAAGGATGACCTTCGGAAATCTGATCTCGAGTCAATTCAATGTAAATGTTTACATTTTGTTGTTGAGGTGGCCTATGGATTGGCTCAGCAGCTCTTAGCCGCCTGTGATTAAATCTTGCTCTGGAGTGGAGCGAGTTCATGGTCTCAGCCCGGTTACCATTGACTGCACAATAAATAATCTACATTTTTGTTGTGCAATTAATTTGGCTAATGTCCAGCTCTTGGTAAAATATATTATCGGTTTTGCAGTGATGCGATGGGTGGAAATGTGCTGCACCCTGCTTTGTAGAATATACGTCGATTTAAAGGGATCTCCGTGGTAGCTCTGGTATCCCGCTTCTGCGGGCCATTCCGTAACCCGAAGGGGTTGCACTGCTTTGTGAGCGAGATCCTAATGGATACTCGTGTCCTGACAGTGAGTACAATCGGGGTACAATTAGAGAGAAAAGACAAAAGAGCATGGTAGTTGAGTTATCGGCGACCGAGCTTAGACCATTAAAGCGGATCGCTACACTTGAGAATACGCTTTTATTGGAAGCAAGCCTTGGATTTGAATGTGCTTCTCAATGATTATGGCTGAAAGATTTTTGCACGAGGCATGCAAAGAGCTGCCTCGACCAAATTGCCCTATTTACACTCGCAGCTGTTATTTAGGCTAAGGGATATGCATCGCGTAAAAAAAAAAGCCAGCATGCATCCTCTGCTCCACTAAACGTGGGTAGGTGCCCTTCTCCATCGGTAGCCCGGAGCCCGTGAAAGAAATTCTACAGTCACATGGTGGATGGCCAGTACCTCCATTGTTGACTTCCCCTCACGGGGATATCATATTATTGAACTAGAGGGTTTGATGGGCTTTGCAAATTACTGTGAACTACAGTGCCATTTTTGGTAACAAAAATCCTATTCTCAGTTTGATGCTGGGTGAAGGCTTTCCCATTTCGCTGTTGGTCATGATGACTGTTTTACCATGCTTCACCACGCTGGTTAAAGCGGGTTTGTGATCGGGAATGCCCAGGAACGGTTCCGGTATTGCTCGCCAAAGATGTTAGCCGTTGTCGGGAATCTAACTTGCTTCATTTGATGCATAGCGCAGTGCGCTACCCACTTCACCACCGCTCAACCCCCAGTTGTGTTATTGCTGTACCACCTAAGGTTTTGACTGAATTTAATGAAATTAAACCTGATGTACTCGGACATCGCATTCAACAAAGCGAATATTAAACACTGTTGGTATTAAACATTACTATGTAAAGTGACATTGAATGAACGTATATGCGGTATCTGTGTAGTGTTGCACATCTGCTGCGTTGCCTGCTTATATTTGTAAGATAGCATTTCCAATTTATTTCTTTTGTGCCCGTGTCCCGTCTGCCCTTGAATACCCCTACCTCTCCCCGTGTCTCTATCTCCCCCCCACCCCACCCAACCACCTCCCCTCTCTTCAACCATCTCCTCCCATTACTCTACCTCCCTCACTGTACCTCCCCTCCCATCATTCTGCCTCCCTGCCTTCATCTCTCTCCCTCCCTGTCCTCCCCTCCTTTCACCCCCTCCCTTCTCCCTCCCTTCTCCCATCGTCGTTGCCGTGGCGACAGAACTTCGACATGTTTGTGACCCAGTTCAGCAACGTGGAGAACCCGCCGTGCGTGCATCTCTTCCGCCTGTCGTCGTCCGATGACGACCCGCTGCATCAGCGTGCCAAATTCTGGTCCAGCCTCATGGAGTCGCCAGGTGTGGTGATGGATTGAGGCTCGCACGCACGCACACACGCACTCGACAAGCTGCCTGAGGTGTGGCAGGCCGGCACGCCAGAGCCATTTCGGGGAGCCTCCTAATTTTTGTTTTATTCGATCAACAATGAACACACAGAAGGGGAAAGGGGTAGGGACTTGGGGACAAAGCGACATGCGATGGGAGAAAACGGCAACAAAAATAACAACCAAATATGCGGTGCACAGCTATGTCAGATGTCGCACAGCTGGATTTAACGGGCACCAATTGAGCGCAGTTCAATGATGGCTGTAGGGAAGGGGCCCCCCCTATAGGGAGCCTCCATTTTAAAATGTGATAAGCTGGCAAGCCAGTCCTTGAAGCGAGCAGCAGCCTATGTCTCGTCCGAGGGTTTGACTGCACAAAGCAACTTGTGCAGGGAAATGCGTGCGAGTGCACGCGTAACCCGACATGCCTCTCCCCCCCCTCCCCACCAAGTCGTTTGGCCACTTCGCGGAATATCAACCCTAGGATACAGCCCTTCGTACTCTCCACTCTTCCAGTGGTCTTTATCTAGGAGACCCGTACAGATAATCGTGTGTTTATGCTCACAAAAGATGGATTATTGATCCTTTTATGTAATAAGCTTTTAAGGGTCTTTTGTATAAGGTCATGGAAAGCCTGTAACGTGTATAACCAAATATTTCATCATGCCAGGTCTCTTGGACCCAGTGTTGCACTCTAATGTTAAGGTAATACATTAAGTCCTTACTTTCTCGATAAAAAAAAAAAACCTTAGAGTCAATGTTTGTTTCGGGTGAATAGTAACATTGGGAGGTTTGACCATTTCCCATGGACTGCGCCGTGTGAAGCATTCTACGCTGTCAAAATGATATTAATGATAATTACAAGCTGACAAACCAGTCTATTAAGGGAGCATCTGTTCTCTAAGGAGATTTGATTGCGTAAGGAAATGTGCACATGGAAGCGATAACACGCAGACGGATTCGGTGCACGCATGCCTGCACGCACCCATTCGCATTCGATCGCACTCAACACAACTTTACCTTTCAGGACGAAATGTTATTTTTTAAGTATTATATTGTTGAGGTGATCGGCTGTTTCAGAGATCATAGCGCCGAGTTGACACGACTGAGAATGCTGGGCTCAAATCCAGGCGGCTGCCCGAGTACACTGGGCCCTTTCTGATGTAGTGAGTTGATAGTCTCTGCCTGTGGTCATCAATGACGGTGCATAATTTAGAAAAATTCCAGTTCTCAGAATTATAAATATCAGTTTGGCTTGTCACGTCATGAACATTACTCCAATTGGCAGAATGGGTGTGAAAGTGCTGCTCCCAACTGCGTGGACCAGGGGGTCACTTAAAGTGATAATCAGAAGTAGATTTCGCTTCAAAGCTTTCGTGACTGCAGGGATTCATCTTCTTGGTTCTTTCGGTAAAGTCACGTAGAAGGGAAATAATAAAATAATAAATAATAAAACATAATAAAATTCCAATTCATTGGAGCGCTGTCTTTCTGACAGCTCTGTTTCTTCACCTGAGGACGGCTGCTTGTGTTGTGGCTGAAACGTGAGAATTGTATTATTATTATTTTTTCCCTTCTACGTGACTTTACCATAAGTAGATTGGTGATATCCGCTTCCTTGGGGTTGTTCTCTAACACGAAGAGCTGACCTGCTCTACGAGATATGGGAATCAATTCTTCGTCTCGTAACGTGATGTAGGATAGCGCAGGATAAGATTTGTGTTAAAGACTACTTTTATTTAAAGCCATTCACAAAAAGTTGCACATTAGCCCAGCGTGCAAAAACGCTGCTGTGCTTTGGGAAATTCCCTGAAGAAATGAAAGTGCATCCTTAGAGAGAATCGCACAGCCAAGTTTAGAAATGGTTGAAATATATGAAGTGTTGTGTGAATACTATAATAGTGTCAGTGAATGTTGGGTTCCCTTTCCTGGCAAACAGGATAGCAAATCTCAGTGGGCTTTCTCAAGTTTTTAAATATACATAGTAATGCAGTAGTGGTGTTGTGCTACTCATAATTTAAAGGTCTCATGTTAATTTTCGGATCGGGGATCAATTTAGTCCAACATCTTTTACCATCCCAGCAACAGAGATTTGAGCTCCACCATCCAAAGCTGATTAGAGGAGGGAAACCCCTCGAAGTTGACGTGAGTAGAACCGACGGGGTCTCCAATACTCCAACTAAAAACTAAACAATGTTTTATTTTACCATGTAATGCCCACTGAGTTATATGGCTCTTTTTTTATCTTCAGCAGTGACTTGGCCACAAAAGTTGGCTCAACGAAGTGGTTTATCACGTAGAAATCTATAGCGGCTAAATAACTCTTAAGTGCACTTCGATTCGAAACGTGGAAGGAAAAACCGGAGGACTCGGAGAAAAACCACGTGACCACCGGGAGATAGAACTCGCAAACTCCAACTATACAGGCATCAGTCGGGGTCGAACCCACGACCTCCTGCATACCAGGCAAGGGAGTGAATGTCTCGCCACCTTGGCGCCCCCTACGTTTTAAGGTTGCGTCGCGTGTTGCTCTGCACGATGTCCGACATTTCGGGAACTTTTGAAGAAGCTCTCCAGGACTTGCAGTGAAACGGCAAACAATGCGCAGTGCAGCGCTATCTATGCAGCACAACCGCAATCGCCTACGTCGCAGTCGTTAGGTTTGGTGAGCGACCACTGTTCTGTGTAATTGTTCCTTCTGTGATGAGTGTGGGGGGGGGGGGCGAGATATAAATGTGGCTGAAGCAGGTGCTAATGAGCACGCTAAATTCTGTCGCCTGCCTCCGTGGAAGGGCTGTGAATGTTAAAATGCCATTGAAACGCCCTTCGTTATTTTCACGGTTGCTGACTGCCACGGGATTTTCAGAGTGCGGCTTCGATGCATCATTGCCCCCGAGTCTACGTCTACCTTGTTACGCACTGCGTGTGCGCAGACAGTAAAACAAAATCGTCACCACTGTCGCTGGCACGCTGCCATTTAAAGAAACAGTTTTCGGTGAGAGAGGTTGTCCGTGGTCAGTTTAAGAGCCTTCGACTCACAATCAATTTCTGAAGTGGTAGTAATTGTCTATGCATACATTAAACTTCTTTCGCACCGTACGTAGCCAACCGTGCTCCTCGGAGCTGCGGGGGAAGGACAACAAACTTGACACACAAAAAGCAGTTCTTAAAGAAATGGGTTGGCGTGTGTCTGAATGGTGGCCCCCATAGCGTTGATATGGAGTGTCCTTGCCGAAAACATCAGTGAATCTGGCAGTTTGACAGTCCAGGCGCTCATTTGATGCGAGGGCTGAGACGGGTCCAGAGGGTTTGCTTGCTTGATAATTTTGGTTTGGAAGGCTGATGGACTAAAAACATAATTCATATCAATGCCTCCTCTGATGCTTATTATTCAGGCATATCCAGTGATCATTTTCCATCTGGAATCATTGGGGAAAAAATACTTGACTTCTTTCCTTGTGCCTTAGTTTAAAGTAAGCTCTATAAACTGTGCAATAAAAGACTGACACCCATCTCTTGGCACTAAAACAGACCTCTCGACTCTTTCAAAGTGGATTTTTGTCGCCCCATCAAAAAATCCTCCGTGACCACAATTCGACACTCAATCTCACAGCTGCCCGAATTCCTCATGCTCATGCCGGCTGACCCAAGCATCCTGGCGCGGCAAATTCCCCCGACTACCGTTCACCCAGAAGTATCAATGGGCACACCAGTCTGTCGGCAGGTCGCCCGCATTGGGGGTAAAGGGTGGGTACTACTACCACCTCTTCCGACACGTCTGGCCAGCGTGGAGAAGAGGGCAAATACTATTGAGGGGCTCTCCAGAGCTCCCTTTTAGTGGAGGAGGGGCCCTTCCACCAACAGTGGCGTGAGCACGATATTGCTGGGCTTGCACCTTTACTCTTCATTTTCTATTCATGTTGAAGCTCATGGTCCACCCTAAACTGCATCCACCGCAAAAACCATGGCAGATGCTGATACATGATGCACAAATGGAAAATGTAAAACTCTCCACTAACGTGTGCGACTGTCATCAAGAACAGACCATACAGCATATAACGACGCAATGCCCGATCCACAAATACGAAGGAGACATCCTAGCGATGTTGCACTCTGCTACTACTGACGCGGTTGTCTGGTTTGACCACCTGAATATCAAATTGTAGTTGTTGCTCTGCATCTCGCATCAGCCATACGACAAGAAGAAGATTCATCTTCTTGGTTCTTTCGGTAAAGTCACATAGAAGGGAAGTAATAAAATAAAAAAATAAAAACATTGTTTTATTTTTATAAAATATAAAAACATTGTTTTATTTTTATTATTTTATTACTTCCCTTCTACGTGACTTTACCAAAAGAACCAAGAAGATGAATCCCTGCAGTCACGAAAGCTTTAAATCGAAATTTAAGAAGATTCATGTTGATGTAATAACTCTGTTGCTCTCTGCCTCTCTCCCCGCGGTGTCCTCTGGGCAGGCTGCCCCCCGGAGTACAGAGCACCCGAGATATTCAGCTTCCAGGGCCGCTCTGGACATGACCTCTACGGCATGTTGTACAAGCCGCATAACCTGCAGCCTGGACACCGGCACCCCACCGTGCTTTTCGTTTACGGGGGGCCGCAGGTAACTTCTGAACGAGTGCAAACGAATCGCCGCTTTGTGCCCGGGTGTCGCGGTCGGTGTCGGAACAATGAATCGGAATCTTTACTTGTCCTGGAGAAATCCGATGAGCTGTGAAGCTCTTTTTCACAAATGTTCAGTCGAGGGCGGGTCAAAGTTCCAACAACAAACAATAAAAAAAACGATAGTGCAAAGTATAGGAAAGTTGAGCAAATCGCTAAAAATATATACTTAAAGTAGATAAAGCTACACAAGTGTTTCGACATCGTAAAACGTAAGTTCAGGTTAAACACCTCATTCAGGACCCAAATGTTACACTTCCTGGCTTTTGACATTCTGCAAAGACACTGGTGGAACCATTGACCGCATCAGAACATTGACAGGCCGATGGTTACATCTCCTTCATTAATGTGCGACTGTGGCCATGCAACACAAACTGTTAGCCACCCACCCCCTCGTGTGCTGTGTCAGCCTTCATAGGTGCTACTCGCTAACAGCACTTGTCCCAACAGTCTGTTAAGGCTAGACGGAGGGGATCTTTATTTTTCTGCGAGTGGCACTTTTGGCATCGCAGCCCGCTGACTCGCTGTCGTCTGTGAACCGCCGTCCCTCTTGCAGGTGCAGCTGGTGAGCAACGCGTTCAAGGGCACCAAGTTCATGCGGCTGAACACGCTGGCGTCGCTGGGCTACGCCGTGGTCGTCATTGACAACCGCGGCTCGTGCCACCGCGGCCTCAGCTTTGAGGGGGCGCTGAAACACCGCATGGTGGGTGTTGGAGGCGTGTGCGGTATTTCTATGCGATACAAATATATGTATACATTTAAATTTTTTTTATTGCCAATGTTAATTTAATTTATCTATTTAAGGGATTGTATCGCGACCTTAGAATTCCCTAATTTTGCTTGTGATGCCGAGCAGCTGTACACCCAGGTTGCGCGTCCGAGGATGTCTAGAACAAGTTTAAAATGGTAGTAATAATAATTGTCCCTTTCTATTCCAGTTCGTATGACTTGGTAAAAATTATTTGCCCGAGCCAACTTTCGTTGCGGACACCTCATTAATTTAAATATTTATTTTGTGTACCGTTTTCGATTTCTTCTGGAACTCGGGTTTTTTTTTTTAGCTCCGATTTCTATTTGCTCTATTTTTGTCCCTTTTGCTTTTTGTCATTTTGGCAACCCAAGACACTCTTGAAAAGGACTCATTCTGGTCTGTTAATGAGTTTGCAGTATCATGCCTTAAATTATTTTCATTATTTTGCTGCTATAAATTTCCACATGATAAGCCACTCGTTGAGCTCATCATTTGTGGCCAGGTCGCTTCTGAAAAAAAGCTAACAGCTCTGGGCTTTACCTGGTAAAATAAAAAAATAGTTTAGTTTAATTTGTATTTTACTGGTAGTGGGGAGGGTGGGGTGGGGCTGGGTGGGGAGGGTGGGGGTGGGAGGGGTGGGGCTGGGTGGGGAGGGGCTGGTCACCCTGTGGTGCCCTTATAAAACTCAACGTTTAACCTACTCACGCCGGCTTGTGCCCACCCTCAATCGGGCATATTTGCGGAATACACCACGCCGCCGTTGACCCTGGCCATTGACCGAGCAACCCAACGTTCCTACCAGCTCCCTCCGCAGGAATGTGTTTTTACTGATTTTCTGACTTTTCCTATACTGTGCACCCCTATTGTGTTTTTGTATTGTTGTAACTTTCTGACCCGCCCATACTGAGCTTTATAGCTCATCGGATTTCTCCGGTATAAATACATATTCTGATTTTGAAGTGAAATCTCAACCTGAGACGCGTGGTGTGGCTCCGTGCGGCTGTGTCGGCCCGCTGCGTGCGCAGGGCGAGGTGGAGATCGCTGACCAGGTGGAGGGCCTCCTCTACCTGGCCGAGCGGCACTCCTTCGTGGACCTCGGTCGCGTCGCCATCCACGGTTGGTCGTACGGCGGGTACCTCTCCCTCATGGCGCTCGCCCTCCGCCCCGACATCTTCAAGGCAAGCGCAGTGGCTCGCGGCGCGAACGGTGACGACGACGATGATAACGATGATACTTGTGATGAGTTTAATATGTTGTATGTTTCATTTCTTTCGCACCATACGTAGCCAACCGTGCTAATCGTAGGTGCTATCATGATGTCTGAAGTTTTGCTTCATGTTTTGGGAGCGTACAACCTGAAAACACATCGCAGAGTGCTATACGGCACAGTTGCGATATCTGTACAGTAGGCCACGAGTGAACCAGTTTGAGGAGTGCAGGGGGTGTCGATGGCTTTGCTTTGACGCCGCCGGTCGCCGCTTTTGGGCAGTGACATGGCCCAGCGGTAGCGAGTTCCCCGCTTGTGTTCTACATGTTCACGGTTTTAACCCGGTCGGCTGTCCTGGTTATTACTGCGGTTGCCCATTAACCATAAACTACGGACAGTCTACTTCACAGTTGCCGTTAAACATCTCCCCCCGATGTGGTTCTAAACTAGAGTAGGCCTTTGCGTGCCAACATCACAGTCCAAATTTGCCAAGTTTGAAAATTTCCGTTACATTACTCTATTAGGATTACGCGTAGCAATCATCGCTCCCTGCTGGCAGACTAATAACCTTGTTTCTGGGCAGGCAACTAAATCACCTTGGTTGCGCATCGGGACAACCGCCCCTCTGGAGGCACCCCGGCATATCGGAGGGCGGCAGCTCTGCGATAAACCAAATCGTCGGTGTCGTTCTGCCCCACGACGTAGGTGGCGATCGCGGGCGCGCCCGTCACCGTGTGGATGGCCTACGACACGGGCTACACCGAGCGCTACCTGGGCACCCCAGAGGAGAATGCGTCGGGCTATGAAACCAGCTCCATCGTGTGGCACGTCGACAAGCTCCCCAAGGAGTGAGTGACGCCCTTGGGCCCGGGCGCGAGCCACGGTGGCGGTCGCTTGGTTTTAAACCTCCTCGTCAATGTCGATTATTATTTTATATACCGCACCTGCCATGCACTACATCTTGGCACCAGAATTATTGTGTATTCGAGATAGTTACTCGGTAAGGAAGTGATTGCGGGCCATATATAGTGTGCAGAACTTTGTAAGAGTAGTGTGGATTGTGTTGTGTATAGTGTAGTATATCGTGGATAGCATGTCGCATAATGTAAAGTATATATAGTGCTAACCTTGGTGTTTAGTATATAGTGTGTATAGTTTAGTGTATAGCATGTGTGTGTCTTGGTGTGTAGTATATTGTATTTAGTAGTGTGTGTAGCATAGCGTGTATATTTTAGTATGTATTTTATCGTGATCATAAAAATCATGGAGTATTTATCGTACTTCTCCACCATGCATTACATCTCGAGGCACTAGGACAATGGGGCTTTGGAGATAATAGCTCACGAAGGAACTGACAGCAGACCAAATCAATTGCGGGGGAAAAAAATGGTATAGACCAGGGGTCGGCAACCAAAATAACAAGAGCCATTTCTTTCCAATTCGGTACAAAATTCAGTATTTCAAGAGCCGCAATGCATCTATGTACATACTGTACATACGTACATATCGTCAAGAAGCAGCCCGTAAAGAGCCGCATGCGGCTCCGGAGCCGCATGTTGCCGACCCCTGGTATAGACAATACACACGACATTTGAGAATAAATTAAATAGATTTAAACTGTGCTTGGAAATACTCTATTATATCCACTTAATTTGAGTGATACGGCATCGGAAGGTAACGTCCCGTGTGACTCTTATCACAGGTGTCGTTAGGATGGGATAATTTTGTAGGTGCTAAAGGACTGCATGTAATGCAGTTGGCATGTTGATTCGTGAAAAGCAATTCATCAAATTTTCAAGGGCGGCTATTGAAGATGTATTCCAAGTACATACAAGTGATATGTTGACGTTACATGTTCACCAATGGAGTGGATGGATATGTACAAGCAACAACCCCAATGGGGGGCCTCTGGGTTGTAGTGAAAACGTGTGTGCGTGTGTGTCCCCTGCAATAGGCCCAATCGTCTGTTGATCCTGCACGGCTTTCTCGACGAGAATGTCCACTTCTTCCACACCAACATGCTGGTGTCTCAGCTCGTGCGAGTGGGCAAGCCTTACCAGCTTCAGGTACACTCACCCACAACAACAAAGATCCTGGGCCTCCCCTAGGTCGACTCGGCCTCAAATGTGTACTTGGTGCCTCAACAGTGTGTTAAGGCTATACGGGGGAGGGTCTTTCTCTTTGTGGGGAGTGGTGGCGCAGTGAGGAGCACGATTTTTCAAAATCCAGGTTACAAGGGGTTAATTTCCCAGCTTAGACATCGAGGTAGCTAGTGGTGTCCGAACCTGTCCTGGACTTCCACTAGGTCAACTTAGCCTTTAATCGAGGACTTGCTGAAGCGTACAAACATCAACACTAGGGAGACGAAGGCGGCCGTGCGTGGTGCCGGCCCACACACGGTTCTTAGCAGCTACTCGCTAATACTTTGACGACAGTCCGCCGTGAAGCTAAATGGGGGGTGGGGTGGGGGGGGTATTCGTTTTTCTTTGTCTCGAAGATTTGCGCCTTCATGCTGACGCCCGCTCGCGTGCACGCCATGAGCTGAATACAAATTTGTTTAGCAAAACGGGAAATGGGGGGGGGGGGGGGTGGGGGTGGGGTGGGCAGCTTCGGTTTAAAAAAACACCTTGCATAACATAATTGACCTGTTGGTGTGAGGTGTAGCAAGAGTCGCATTGGAGCGTCCGATGGGCCCCCGAATGTAATTTGAGTTAGCGGGGAAATGAGTTGTCATTGATTGACCTGGTTGGAGAACGTTCCAAGCGCGCGACTGTGCGGCTGCACTGCATTATAATTTGTTCCGGGGCTTTCGGCCCTCCTGTGGACACGGTGGCACTGTCACAGCTGTGAATGCTGGGCAGGCACTGCCGTCTTGAGAGCTAAAGGCAGAACTGCAGTGGCTCACTCATTGCTCTTGTAGCCCATGAGCCACCTGGCATGGCACAAATTTAACCAGCATCTGCTCATTGTGTTTTGTATACATGCGCGTAATTTGTATTTAGTATATTCTGTTAATTCTTGACCTAAAGTTTTCGTGGCTGTAGGAAGTCGTCTTCTTTGGGTCTTTCGGTAAAGCCACGTAGGTTGAAAAAATAATAAAATGAAAATCGCGACGTTTCGATTGAAACGTTGTGATTTTGATTTGAAACGTCGCGATTTAGATTTTCGATCGAAACATCGTGATTTTTATTTCATTCTTTTTTACATCAGATGCAATTGCAGGTGGGGTTTACTGTGCTGCTCCATCTGCTATGCAGCCCAGATGGCGAGATGTTAACTCCCTATCCCGGTATACAGGAGGTTGTGGTTTCGATCCGGACCCTGATGCCTTTATATTTAGATTTTTCTCCATGTCCTCCGGTTTTTCCCTCCATGTTTAGAAACATGCGCTTATAACATTTAGCTGCTAGAAATTCCCACATGATAAACCACTTCGTTGAGCTATCATTTGTGGCCAGGTTGCTTAAAAAAAAAGCTACATAGCTCAGTGGGCCTTGCCTGGTAAATAAATGATCGTTTTTTCGATCTGGCATCGTTACATTTTCAGCTACTCAGCCCTTTGAGGGATGTGGCCTTCTGCGGGCAGCATTTTGGATAATTACCATTGTACAAGATAATTTTCATAAGTGGTTACACGAAACTGATGATTGCATGAATCTTTTTACTGTGATGGATTGCTGGCGCTGGTTCAGCGTGAGCCCAAGAGCCTTGAAAAGGATGGAGATAATGTTGAAAAAGAACCCAATGTTCATGACATTTCCATGAATTACGTTCAAAAATGTTGCATCAGCTCAATACTGAGGAAAGGAGGCATTTAAGAGGTTAGTTGATCAGCAGGTCATGTGTGGTGGTGTTTAAGCTTGGGAACTTGTATGTATGTTGAACTTCTTTCGCGCACCGTACATAACCAACCATGCTAATCGGAGGCGCGGGGGAAGAACGACAAACTAAATACAAAAAGCGGTTCTAAAGAATTGAGTTTTCAATCTAGATTGAAAAGTGCATATCTTCAGCGGCTTCCTAATATCGAAACTTCCACCGCCTTCCGAGACATCTGGCCAGTGTGGGAGAGTAGTCAAAATGCCCTATAGACGGGCGTTATTGGGTGCTCTGTAAAGGAAGCCGTGAGTGAGGATTGTGCAAGCCTTAGCTTGCCGCCTTATTCGGTGGTTATCCCTCGTATCTCCTTGCTTGACAAATAAAAACATATTGACCGTTGTGTTTGTGAATTCCTCCTCCTGTCTCTCTGCCAGATTTACCCGAACGAGAGGCACAGCATTCGCTGTGCCGAGTCTGGTGAGCACTACGAGATCATGCTGCTCCACTTTCTGCAGGAGCACCTCTGAGCTGGCCCCCTCTCAATGCAACGTTCCCACTGGTTCCCAGCACAGCCGCTCACCAGCCCCTCACCCTCCCCCCTCTGTCGTCCTTGCCCACACCACGCCCACCCAACTACCCTTCGCTTCACCTCCAACCCAGCTCAGCCCGGCACCAGCGTCCCGGCCACCTGACCTTGCCCACGGAAATCGCAGCTGCATTTCCCGTGAGCCATAACCGCTGCTTTTCTTCTCTCGACGTTTGTTGTCATTTTTAAGGTCCACATTTGGTCTTGAGGATTTGAAGCTTGTGTCCATAACTTGGGCATGCGGTGAAATCTCAGAGGGAGAGATGCTCTGCAAACATAGACTGTGCCGCGAAGACTTGACACGATATAATGTGCCACTGCGCCATGTGGAATTTGTGTTTTGGCTACGTTTTATTGGGTAAATTTTTTGTGGCTTCTGTTGCATCCTTTCTATCTGTCCTCTCCCTCATTTATTTTCTCACACCGCTATCCGTCCAAACCATTTTGTGAACAAGAATGCGGCATTTGACGGATTATTTTGTCCATGGAGCACAAAACGCAGTTACCGCTAGGCTTTTATTTTAACCACGTGTTTTTGTCATTTCCTTTCCCGATACTTGTACAGCGAGAACCCATGAGCTTGCACAGAGTGATCTCCGCTTGTTTTTCATATTCGTAACATCCTGTTGTACTCTTCGTTATTTTCATGTAATTTTTTTTTCAGTGTACTTTTAATTTTACGGAAGACTGTACATTTTGGAAATTAAAAAAAGTGCCTGTGAAGCAGACTGCAGTGCAAATCTGGGATGGGGGTGGTGGTTTGTATTTCCCGCCTCCGCCGAAAGCCACAATATAAGCGATGACAACGTTGATCGAGATGTTTGGCGACCAGCCGTTGCTCAAGTCGAACATAACGCATGTTGAGCCTGTATTTTGCACTAGTTGACCAAAGACATTGGAGCTTGTTGTCATCCCCATGTTTATTTAGTCTTAACGGAGCATCGTGTGTAACGTTTTAACAAAGTCTGGTGAGGAAATCTGGAAGGAAAAGAGCAAACCGAACGCTCTCAAGGTTCTCGTCCGTCGGCGAGATGCGATTTTGATTTTTTTCCGAGATCGGGAATTGATTGTAACCTCTCGGCAACAGTTTGATCCCTCGCGCGCAGTGGGGGGGAAGTCTTGCCTGTGTGTGTTCTGTACATTACCGCGCTGTGTATAAATCATTTTTAATTCAATTAAATAAAGGTCTGAAGAGGATTTATCAATCGTTGTTTTGTTGTTTGTGTTGCGACGGCGTTGGCGTCTGCCTGATTACGCAGGGCTCGCCAAAACATCAGTCCTTGCAACCCACCAGTGCACCTTTCCACATTTAATAATAATTTCCATTCAAATATAAATTGTCGTTGCATAATGTGTGCGTACCTGATTATTGGGAATCGCATCCCACGTGAGTGATATCCGAATGTGAATTTATAGTCTCTACGTTTCTAGGCACAGACACACTATCACCATCGCTTTGTGCTCTGTACGTCTCGCAACTTTGTATTTCGTCAAAGAATATTGATAGATGTGATAAATGGGTTGTGAGAACATGCATTTGCGAAGCTGTTATAGCAAACTGCACATACTTCTCGTTGACTTTACAAAACAAGCAGATTGTTTTAGTCGCCAGTTGTATTACAATTGTGCTTGTATCAAAATCATTTAACATTGCTGCAGAAAGTCTTTGCCTATGCGCACCGTATGTAGCCAACCGGTTAGCATGGTTGGCTACGTATGGTACGAAAGAAGTTCTACATACACACACCCTGCCATTGCGTGCCTCTGCCTGGTCCCTCTGTTGTTGCAGTGTTAATACCAGACTTTTGAGGTCCTCCCTTGCAAAATCATCACCATCTGGCTTTAGGTCATCCTCTTGGTCTCGGACCTGTGGGTGCCACTCCACTACCTATCTCGGCGGTCTGCCCTCCATCCAGCACACACGTCCCCCACCAATTGAAACGTGTTTTTCATTATTATAATTTTTTATTGTGACACTTCAAGCATCCTCAACGTGATCTTGGATTCACTCAAAGCCCAGATGCTTCCTTTCCAAAAGTCTTTGTTTGGAGTCCATATCTCTTGACCCGTGCAGTGACATCGGCATTACTCCATTCTTAAACACCAAGCTGACGAGTCTGCTACTTAAAAAGAAGTGTTTATTGTAATGCATCAAAAATCCTACGCGGATATTTAATTATGTCTCAAACTCCTTTGCACAATCCCCTGTATTACACAACGTAGCAGCTGTGTACAATGCTATTGCAAGAACATTAATATTACATGTCCATACTATAATCTGAAGCATGTACTGAATTAGTCGATGTAAATTTGTGTAAATCCATACAGCGTGTTTTCCAGCCACTGCTGGATGAGGAGAGGACCTGCCCATGCCTTGGCATCCTTTGACGGCTATTTGACCATACTTCACCACGCTGGTCAATGCGTCTTGGTGATGGTGGGTCAAGTGCTGCACTGCTCTCCACTGCCCACAACGCCCACCACATGTCCTTTGTGTACGCTGGTCACCCATCCAAGGACTGTCCAGGCTCAACGCTGCTTAACTTTCAAGGTCTGCCTGGGGTTGTATGTATTCCGTGTCATTTGGTAAGAGGCCTGATTTAATGTCTCATTCTGAAAACATTTTGAACATAGCCACGCGGTCTGGCAACGTGTCAATACTTTACCACGGCTCTTGCAATAGCCAAGTAAACAAAAACAAAATCTGACTGATGACCCGTTCTGCTCATTTTCAACAGCAACAAGCGCCATTGTAAAATAACACCCTATCACTTCCAGACGTTAGCACCCAGAATTCATGTTCAGTATACAGTATTCGTTTACTCGGCGGTTTTAGTTTTTTTTTGCTTTGTTCCACCCAGTAATTGGTACCAGAGTTGATTAATTCTGCAAGAAACCCAACACTGCAGTTTCCAGATGAGTGCGTTTCGAATGTTTGAGTGTTGCAATAGAACTCATCGGGAAAAACAACTTTAACGTGCGGCAATTTGGGCGTTCTGTGAGTGCCTCCCGCTGTAGCAAATGTCTCCGCTTGGCACAACACGCAGCACCTTGAAATGTGCAGGTTGCATATTGTTATCAGTGGGCCATGGTCTGTCCACTTGGATGAATACCTGCCCACATTGTCGAAAATTCTCACGGTCCTGCAAATGTCCTCAACTCGCCAATATGAAATTGACGAAAACAAACACTTAGAGGCTGTCCAATAGGAACAGCATGTGCCTCAAAAAGAGGGCGATCCTGGGAAAACCCGAGGGCAGGTGGCAACCGTGCCACGAGGGTTACTTGAGCATGTTTGACCGCACTGGTCAGTGTGGGTTTGGTGAATATGGCGGTGGGGGTGGCATCGATGTTGGACAACCACTGCCAAAATTGCACTGTTGATTTAATTCTTTCTTGCTTTTGCATGGCGTTTGAAAAAAAACTCGTATTTCCCTTCCACTGTCCTCAGTCGGGTGGATTTCACAACAGCAGCAAGTCCACGATACCAGATCGGCGTCGATTTCGTGATGGGACATGTGGCTGGATTACATCGCGGGTTCGAGATGTTAACTCCCTCTCGTGGTCTAGAGGAGGTCGTGGGTGCGATGCCAACCCTGATGACTGTAAAAAGTTTGCATGTTCTCCCTGTGGTTGCGTGGATTTTTCTCCGGGTCCTCCGGTTTTCCCCATCCACGTTTAGAAACATGCGTTTAGAGCATTTCTGCTATAACTTTCCACGTCATAAGCCACTTCGTTGAGGTATCATTTGTGGCCAGGTTGTTTCTTTCAAAAGCTACATAGCTCATATTTGTGGATCGGTGCTTTGCGTCGTTATTTGTTGTACGGCCTGTTCTGAATCCACAAGACCATATATGGGCACATTTCTGATCGGTGATTTCGTCGGATTTCCGATTTTATGGAATTACAGTACCCGTCCCAGTGGCATAGGTGTAGAGGTGATACGCGCTGGGATTAGAGATCGTATGCCAGCGCGTAATGATTGGCTGTGTAGGTGGTGACGTGCGCTGACGGTGGAGGATCAGGGGTCAGCGCGGGGTCGTGGGTTACGGGGTACTGATTGGCTGTGGACGGGTGACGTGCTGAGAGGGAGTGATCGGGTGGCAGCGCGGTGTGATTGGTGGAGGAGTGTTAACACGCGCTGGGGAAAACGGATCGTAGAGAGAGTGCGTCGTGATTGGTTCATTAAGGAGCGATGCTCACGTTGAAGTACGCATCAGCTCCGCCTCTCGTGAGCAGGGGCTATAAAAGGGGATGCACACAGGCGTGAGGGCAGTGGGTAACCAGCGAAGAATGAAGACGGGGATGAAGACCTAGGGCCCTGCGGTACCTAGTCCCGCTGTCCTAACGGGACCGGGACTCTGTGTAACCCAGAGGCGAGTGTAGTGTGTGTAGCCAGAGGCGTAAGGTCTACACGAGCCGAATGCAGTGTATTGTGTAGCCAGGGACATAGGGTCTACACGAGTCGAGTGTATTGTGTAGCCAGGGACATAGGGTCTACACGAGTCGAGTGTATTGTGTAGCCAGGGACATAGGGTCTACACGAGTCGAGTGTATTGTGTAGCCAGAGGCGTAGGGTCTACACGAGTGAAGGGTATCGTGTGTAGCCAGAGGCCTAGAGTTTACACGAGAGTAGTGGAGTGTGAAGTCGGAAGAAAGGAGACTACACGTTGTATTTTGATACGTAAAGATTTAATAAAAGTGTGTTCCCGTCAAGAAGTTCCTGCCGTCAATTCCCATACTTCAACTGGCGTCAGAAGTGAAACGGTCTTCCAAGCATGGATACAAGGAGGAACCGTCGGACCCACGGGATTGACCACGGGGACAACCTCGACGACGCGGGTCAACTGGCATCGGGGGGTGAGGAAGAGGAGTTGCCCACGGGGCAGGATCCGCCGACGGCGCCGGACGAGCCACGGGGGACTGACGCCGTGCTTCGCGAAGCGCACTCCCGTCTGGCGGAGCTGCTGCTCGCCGCCGCGTCCATCTTGGCGGAGATCAGCTCGTCGGGAGGAGCAGGAACGGCGGCCGACGTTCTGCAGGGTCGCCCTGCAGATTCCCGCCAAAACGATTTGGCGATGGCCGCCATTTCATCTGCACCGACTTTTGGCGGGAACGGCCATCACCACGTGGCAGCGGTTCTCCATGCGCGCCCGCTGACGTCACCAACGCGCGCGGCGGACCGCCATCACACACCCGCCGATGGGGCCGCCATCTTACACACCGGCGGGGCGGCAGAGAGGAAGCACGAGGAGGAGGACGACTTCATTTTTCAGCAGCGCCTTCCCACGTTGTCAGCCTTCAAGGCGGAAGGCGGGGATTGGAGCCAATTTCAGCGCAGATTTTTGGCGCATCAGGAGATGTCCGCCTGGTCCGACGCTACGGCACTGCGGGCACTGCCTGCCATGCTGGATGACAACGCGCTCGCGGCCTTCACGTCCGCACGCAGGTCGGACCGCTCCACGCTCAAAGATGCGCTGGCTCTCATGGCCAAGGTCTATGGTCCTCCCTCCGCGTGCCGCCATCATTTTTATGCAAGACGGAAGGCGGACACGGAGACCGTGCTCGCCTACCGCACGGCGTTGCTTGCTCTCGCCGACGCCGCGTTCCCTCGTATGGACGAGGAGGGCCAAGATGCCATGGTTTTGGAGCAGCTGCTCAAGTTGGCGCAGGACCTGGGGGTCCCCATCAACACGGCCGATGAGACCGATATTTCATCCTTACGGGTCGCCACAAGCATACAAGCGCACGAGGTCCTTCAACGTAAACAGGGAGTCGTCTGCAACGCTGCCGTGGCCTCAACTCCGGGCCCAGTTGTCACCGTGCCCCAAGTCGTCAGCCCACGAGAGGAGGCGTTCATCGCGGGACGACCGGGGGACTGGAGATCGGGGGGTCGTTCGCCTCTGCGAGCGGCCCGCAAGCTGGAGCAACCGAGATCTCCGACGACTGCCATCACCTGCTATAACTGCGGCCTCCGGGGCCACGTGGCCTCCGGTTGCCGCGCCCCACGTCAGCGCGCCATGGGACCTCGGCTGGACGACGACCAAGGCCCCAAGTCGTCCCTGCAAACCCCGGCAAGTCGCGGCACCTCACATGCTCGGCCCGCATACTCGGCACATATGGGTCGTCGCGTTGCGGCGGGGGAGAGCCGAGTAGAGTTCGGGGATTCGGTTCAGAGAGGGCGATTCGGCCGGGACCGGGGAGA